CGAGGCTAGAACTCGCAGTCTCCTGGTTTCTAGCCTGGAGTTTTAACCACAAGACCAAACTGGCTCTTGAAATTAGAAGAGAGTTTAGAACCTTTTAGCTCCCAGTGGATCTCCATTCTGAAATACAAGTTACCATCTTGGAAAAAAGGTCCTGTGGTGCTTAAACTGAAACAACTTGGTTTAATGAAGGTCAGAATGAAGTGAGGAAGGAACAGAGCCTGATGTTATTTCAGGGATCCTAGGAACAAGAAGAATATGATGATGTTGGTTTAAGAAGAAGCATTCAGAGGCAGTCCTTGATTTACAACCATTCATTCAGCTACTGTTTGAAGTTATGAAGGCACTGAAAAAAGTGACTTATGACTGGTCCCCTGCCCCCGCAGTCACGTGATCAAAATTCGGGTGCTTGGCAACCTGCCTCCATTAAAGACTGAAGGGGCACTCCACCCACCCACCTCTCTCCTCCCCCCTGCCCCTTTGCCTGCCCTTCACAGTGGCACTCCTTGGTGGTGCCGGCACTGGGGCTGAATTAGAGGCCCAGGGCCTTCAGTAGTCTTAGCCAGTTGCCCCCCCCCAGGCCCTTACTCCAGCCCCAGTGCTGCTGCTGTCAAGGAGCGCCACCTCAAGCCCTGTGCCGCGGCCAGCCACCCCAGCTCCACAGTGCAAAGCCCCAGCTGTCCATGCTGCCCTGCGCTCTGCAGGCCCTGCCATGCCCAGCTGATGTTCATTGTCTTCCTCCCATTGCTGACAAGGTGTGCCTGGACTGGCCCTACGCGAGGAGCTGCTGGCCACGACAGGCTTTCTTCCCGAGGCTGCTCACACTGTTCTCCAAATCATGCACGCTGTTCTTGTGATGCTTTGGAAGACCCCAGAAGCTTTCTGAAGCATTGTAAGAATAGGGCGTACTGTTTGGAGAATGGCAGGTGCGCTGTTCTCGCAATGCTTTGGAAGATCCCAGAAGCTTTCTGAAAGGTTTCTGAAGCATCATGAGAACGAGGCATGCTATTTGGATGACAGGTGTGCTGTTCTTGCAATGGTTTGGAAGAAGCTTTCCAAAGGCTTTCTGAAGCATCACGAGAATGAGATGCACTGTTTGGAGAACAACGCACGTGATTTGGAGAACGGGGCAAGCAGCCTCGGGAAGAAGGCCTGGCGCGGCCAGCAGCTGCCTCGCATAAGGCAGGCTGGGCAAGCCTCATCAACAGCGGGAGGAAGACAGGGAAAGTCAGCTGGGTGCCAGTTGTGTTGGGACTGAAGTAGAGGCCTGGGGGCAGTGGCAGCCAGCTGAGACTGCTGAAGGCCCTGGACCTCTAATTCAGCCCCAGTGCTGCCGCCACCACCAAGGAATGCCACTATGCAGGTCAGCCAAAAGATCAGAGATGGGGAGATAGGTGGGTGAGAGGAGTTGAAGAGGAGGCATAGGAGGCAGTCCTTTACCTTAGGCTCTGGGCTGGGAGGGAGCAAGCCGGGGAATGGCTTGGATCGGGGTGGGTCCTTGCTTAACGACCTGTGCGTCTTGGGGTTATGACAGCAACTGGAACTGCCCAGGATTGCTGTTGCTCAGTGATGCAGTCACACTTTAAGACCACATTGCTTACTGATGGAAATTCCGGTCCAGTTATTGTAAGGTGAGGCTACCTGTAGGAGTGCAGAAAAAGAATAGAGTATTTTTCTTAGAATATGAGGAGAAAAGAATAGAAAATGAAGGAAAATTGGAAGATGGAATTGTAAGGAATAGGTATTTTGGTTGCAGTGGGGAATGAATGGCCATTAGTGCTGAAATCCTATAGTATGAGGTGTCAGAGAAACTGTTTTAGAGTTTTTGCAAAGATATCAAGAGAAAACATCTTAACAGTTGGATGATATATCATAGAAAGCTCAAACACAACTTTACTGTCAGCTAATAGAGAACCTTTGAAACCTGTAATTTTTTTCTTGGGAAGATTATTAACAAAAATTAGTCATTAATTGTATTATTTGAGAAAATTGGAATTTTTAAAACTTTGATAATGTGAAACTTAGTAATTCTTTACCAAAGAGATCTGCATTTGCCCTAGTAGTACCTGTAAATGTCTTTCTCCTTTTCTCTCTCTGATAGAAACTGCAATTTCAGAAATTTTACCTATATTATAATTCTAATGAGTAATCGATATATTTTCCACAGACCTACTCAAACAAGTAATCTGGGCTCAGTGTTCCTCCCTCCCCCTTCCCCAAACTCTCCAAAAGCATTGAATGAAGAAAAAATGCTTACAGAACAAACAGACATGATCAAACAAGTGAATCATTTAAGTCCTGCATATGGTCAACATTTATCTGCTTTATCATACAAAGTAAAATGTGATGGGATACTTCTCTATATTACCTACAGTTCTGCCACCAGTTGTTAAGAGTTATTTGAGTTCTGGAGGAGTTTGGGGTAGGGAAAGATCATGTTTGTATGCACAAATATAGGGAATTGCCATTTCCCAAACTGCAACATTTGTCTCCCCGCTGATTGCCAGAGGTGATTTGGCCATATGCAAGAAAACAGGACTCTGTCTTTAGAATTTATATAGAATTAAGGAGTTTCATCAGATGTAGTATCATGAAAATTATCTGAAATTTCCTATACCTAGAACTTTTGTACGTTATACCTAGAAGCTATACCTAGAACTTTTGTAAATCCCATAGAAGTTATGTAGAATAAGGAATTTCACCAGATTAGTATCATGCAAATTATCTGAAATTTCCTCTTCCCAGTAAGATGCAGACACCTGTATTGCCTCTGAAGCTATACCTAGAACTTTTGTAAATCCCATTGAAGAGAATATATGTAGCTCAGGGTTGAACTGTGGAATTCTTTGTGCTCTCTGAGCTTGGTTGTTTACTTGCAGAAGTTTCATTACCCAACTAGATAACATCACAGTGCTACCGAGTGAGGTTCCAGCAACCTGGAACACCAGAAAAAGGAAACAGACTGCCTATGCAACATCTTCCAACAAAATGGATATCCACACAACTTTATCAAAAAGTGTCTGACCACTACTTGCAGAAGTTTCATTACCCAACTAGATAACATCACAGTGCTACCGAGTGAGGTTCCAGCAACCTGGAACACCAGAAAAAGGAAACAGACTGCCTATGCAACATCTTCCAACAAAATGGATATCCACACAACTTTATCAAAAAGTGTCTGACCACTCAACCCACTACAGCACAACCAACACAAGCTATGAAAAGGATAACTACCATACATCAAAAACATCTCAGAAACAACCAACAGACTATTACAACCACATGGCATTACTGTAGCACACAAACCAACTAAAGCCCTGCAAAATATCTTAAATAAACCAAAAGCCCCAGTACCCCAAAAAAAAAAACCCAGGAGTTGTCTACAACATACAGTGTAAGAAACCAACAGACTATTACAACCACATGGCATTACTGTAGCACACAAACCAACTAAAGCCCTGCAAAATATCTTAAATAAACCAAAAGACCCAGTAGCCCAAGAAGAAAAAACCAGGAGTTGTCTACAACATACAGTGTAAGAACTGTAACAGCCACTATGTAGGACAGACAGGCAGAAGACTAGCAGAGCACATCCATGAACACCAACTAGCAGTTAGAAGACAGGATGAAAACTCCTTGTTCTCACAACACATGGGCAGACTCAACCATATTTTCAACTGGGAAACTATGAGCATTCTAGACCAAGCCAAATCCAAAAAATGCTAGGGAATTCCTGGAAGCTTGGCATTCAGACAAATCAGACATCAATAGACACATAGAAATAAACCATATTTACACACCATTCAAAAGAGACAACAAAAACCTAAGAAGGAAACAAAAAGAGCAGAGCACACCCCCTCCAGGAGCCAACACCCAGATAAGCAGGGATTAACACCAGACAATCAAGCAGAAAACTTGAAAATACCCTAAAAAAGCAGAAAACACCCTAATCAAGGAACTACCAAGGAGAAAACCACACCCCCACCAACACTGGCAAAGAGCAAACCCCATACTCACTAGCACTGATGATGTTACCTAGTTGGGTAATGAAATGTCTGCAAGCAGACAACCAAGCTCAGAGAGCACCAAGGACTCCACTTTTGTAAATGTCTCCATATTGGGGGCATTTGGAAAGCTGTGTATGAGCTGTAATTAGCATCTGGAGCAGGAGTCTGTTTAGAACGCCCATGACATGCTTTTAAATTTGTCTCAAATAAATATGTCTCAAATATGGCTCAATGAAGTAGGAAACACCTGTCTCAAAATAACCAAGACAAATACAATGGAGGGAAGAAAGGCTAAATCATGAGACTAGATTATGGTGATTGTGTTTTGTGACTCAGGCTGATGTCATAGTGACAAGCCACACACACATGGGTAGATTCCCCAATTCTGGGAGCATGATGGATATTCCATGTAAGTAGTGCTCTGCCAATTTTCATAGAGTTTTAGGATTATATTTCAATTATCCCTAGTGGGAGATGGAAAAACAGAGAAATATCAATATGTCTATTTCTCCTTTTTGTTATTTTTGCTATTTGTTTTTGCTTCATGAGTTTTACTTTCCCTCAGGAGAAGATAAAGGAGATCTTGAACTGAGTAATTCTTCTTAAAGTAATTGCTTTCAATAATTAAAGCAGATTCTCAAAAAGAAAGCCAATTCTATTTTAATTTTCATTATTCATAAGTTTTAAATGTTTCCAGAGAACTTAAAGTAAACTCCAAAATTGACTTTGTAGCAGGAGATTATAAGGTTGGCTGATTGGGAACTTTAGCTGATTTAATTTGTTTTTTCAATATTAAAAAAAAGATAAAGCAGTTCACTAGCAAAGGATAGTGAATAGAGAGATAGGTGAGCCTATCCTTTTATTTCTTTTGAAAGATATGATCTTACGATAGATCTACATAATTATTTATGTACGTATAATTATGTAGCTGTCTTGCTTACTAAAATTATGAAATCTCATTTTTACAGGCTAATTGAAGGGAGAGAATTTTGTTGTTCATGAATGGTCCATTAAATTGGAGTACGTCATCTTTGCAATATGACATAAATAACTTAATTTGTATCATTTGTATAATAACATTATGCAAAGGTAAAAATTGCCAGAGAATTTGGTATGTTGCATGCAAAGTATTTTCTAGACAGATCCAGTAAATCAAGTTTCACACTATCTGGCTTTGCCTTCTAGATCTGCATTAGGACAAACCTTAGGTATGTTAAACTAATGGTTTGGGTTTCTGAGCACTGAAAATATCAACTTCTTTAACTTTCTAAAGGCAAAACAGTAAGTCTTGGCATAATCCTGCAACACATAATGTTTCTGTTTCCTGTTTTAATGTACTGTAACTATGATGTCATAAAGCTCCATGTTGGTCAAAACTATGAAATGAATATACTATACTGTATCTAAGCTGAATCTAGACCCAGCCATCATTTTTATAGCATCCAGTATTTTTGTTTTGTGCTTATTTTTTAATAGCCAGACCATTCTTACAAGCATACATTGAATCAATATTTATTTATTTATTTATATTTTAGGGCATAAATATCACTATGAAATCAGATAATTACTTACAAGTTGATACTACACTTGATCTTAGCCAAAAGGCCAAGAAGCATAATTTAAATAAGAGAAAAAGAATCTAGGGTTTTCAAGTTTCCTCCAATCATGCTTTTGTGTTTTTTGGATTAATTAGACAAGCACAAAATCATCTTGAGATTTTCCTCATTTCTGCACCATCTATAGCAATAAGATGGAAAGATGGGAAGTCACTAAATACAAGATAAGAGAATAATAATACTAATGATATTAATGTCAATTAAATGTCAGTTAAATCAAATTTAGCTTTTCTTTTCATCTCTCCTACTCATTTTTAGAATATGTCTCTTGACATGACACTGAAAGATCAAATGTAGCCTTCTCCTTGGAAGACATTGCAATGCAAGCTATAAATGGCTGGCAACCAATATACTAAGGAAGCTTTACTAAGGTTTCATTAGCCTAACCTAATTTAAATAATATTTACCATAATTCTAAAGCTCCAGTCTCCATAGTCCAATGGTAAAATTGTCTTTGAAATTGTGTAATGTTTCTATTTATGAATCCCATCTTATTTATCTATAGAATGGGCAAGTTTACAGTCAGTTTTTACATTTGAGGGAAAGCAGTTTTTCTAACAATTGTGTCTGGAAAAAAATATCAAATAAAATATGAGAAATATGCACATGTAGTTTGAGGGGGGGAGGGTTTCCCCCCCAAAACTCCAATCAGAGCTTGTTAACTATACTGTAGGAAGACTTCCTGAAATATGAAAAGCTAAATTCGGTTGTTGTTGTTTTTTAGACTTGGAAAAAATCACATTTGAAACTAATACTACAGTAAATTTCAGATTAGCCTGATCTATGGTTCAGGCAGCAAGGGGATGTTTATATGATTGTTTATGGTATTTATTAGTTCTAGGAATGTTTTTTCTTTAATCTTTAGAACCCACATGAACTTCGTTTACCTTATGTATAGTAATTAATTTTATATTCTTTGTCAGTATATGGGGGATTTAACCACTGGTAATCCATGATATTGCTGGGTTTGTGCTTTGTTCCTTAGAAAATATTTGGGAAATAGAAAAAATATTATTTTAACCTGATGTACCAATTTATTATATTGCATATTAAATATGGGGGACCGGTTTTTGTGGATCAGACAAAAGTGAGACCAGGATAGGAACTTTAGGTGAAAATTCAGTATGCCTCAGCCTGTCCTCTCTTTCCCCTACAATAAGCCTAGCTGTACATTTAAATTTTCAGAGATAGGAGAAGTTGTCTGCTAGATAATAATAATAATAGCATGGAATTCTGTCCCTGTTGGCATTCAAATACAAAGTTAAAACTCTCTTTAAAAGCTTTTATAAGGCTTTTTTGAAGCAAACAACAATCTGTTCTGCTGCTGATATTGTATATTGTTTATGCTGATTTACTCTCATTTATTCTAATTTATAATTTGATTTCTTCAGTTCTTGAAAGTTGTTTGTGTATGTTGCCATACTAAATTAATTTTGATGTGTTCATTTGTAGGAAGACATTCCAAATTAAAGCCACACCCTCCAGTTGTAAGCCATGTGAGCCATCATAATATTGAACTGAGTTGGAATTTGGAAGAACAACGAAAAGGTCCTCAAGAACAATGGCTAAAATTTTCAGTTGAAGCAGAAGATCCTAAGTTACATAAATATGGTTTGATTTACACGTAAGTTCAATTCTACTATTTTGTTTCTACAAGTAAAAAAAAGCCTGAGCATAGAAAACTAATTCAACTGACATACCGTCCAGATCAGTTTCTCAAATCAATTCTTAGCTGTAGCTGCAATGTTACTAGAATATTCAGTTCTTTGGATTCCAGAACTCTATCCCCGCTTTTTATGTAACTCAGTGGAATATTTGAAATGTAATGTAATCAGTGATGGATCAAATGTTACCAAGGGATTTAGTGCATGGGAATGTACAATATTCCCTAATACTTTTACTCTCTTTCTTATTTTGATACAGCTAAGTTCTTACAGCATTTTACTGTTTGTCTATCTGTTCATATATATCCCATCTTTCCACTTACATAAGACCTTAAGTCAGCTTATAACAATTAAATACAAAATATAAAAAATAACAGTACTGTCAATATAATTAAAATCAATTAACAGTTAAAAGTTTGGCCAAAAGTTGCATTTTTACAATTTTCCTAAATACTGAGAATCAGACACAACTCCCTGAGGAGCAGCATTCATAGTGTAAGGCCACATAGGAGAAGGTTCTTGCACATATACCAGTTACTGTTATAGTGATTTCTTTAGAAGTGTTTCTCCCCCTGATCTAAGTAATTGGACAGGTTCATAGAGGGAGATGTAGTCTCATAGATTAAGGTATTAGTCAACACCTTAAATTGTGCCAGGCAGGCAATTGGCAGGCAGTGCAGAATTTTTTATACAGGCACTATGTGGTTCTTGTACTTTGCACCATTTCGTAACCTGAATACTGCATTTTGTATTGATTTCAATTTCCGTATGCTATTCAAATTTAGCTTTCTATAGAGCATGTTGCAATCATCAAGAGAGGTGTAACCAAGACAAAATCACTGTCACCAAATCTTATTTACTGAGGAAATGTCCCATTTGGTCTATTAGCCATAACTGTACAAATGTACTCCTCACCATGACTATAACCTACAATTCCAGTGACAGTTGGAGTTGTTCTTTCTGGGAAAATGCAACTGTGTCCCAAGAAGTTTTCACCTCAGTCCAGTTTTCTCCTTACCAGCAGCATCTCTTTATTAGATTTCATTTCAGATTGTTTTTCCTTACCTAGCCCATTATCCAGATTAGACAATATAAAAGAGTACTGATAACTTTCTTGGAGATAGAAAGAGAAAAACGAAAGAAAGCAGTAGACTTGCAGAAAGTGAAAGATGGCACCCACTTCAAAGCTCTAAATGACCTCGCCTATCAGTTTCATGGAAATGTAGAATAGCATAGGGAAAAGATAGAATTCTAGCAAAACTGACTACCATGACCATCAGCACCAAATTATCATTCTGTATTATGCTCGATATCAAAAACTGCCAAAAAGGTTGGAAGACCTAGCCAAGTTATACTCTTCCCATCTGTTTCTAAAACAGATCATACACCAAGATGACCAAAGCAGTCTCATTACTAGAACCCAAATGAAAGCCTGACTGAAATTGATCCAGATAATCAGTTTTATCCAAATACATCTAGAAGTGCAAGAAATGATTTTCTCAATCACTTTACCCAAGTTTGAAATATTAGAAACTAGCTTATAATTATAGTGATCTTACAGGATAAGGGAGAGATTTTTCAGGAAAGGTCTTGTAACTGCCTATGTTAAGCAGACACAAACACTTTCCACACTCAGGAAGGCACTGATCATATCTCTTAACTATAGAGTGAATCCCAACTTGATTAATTTAATCAGCTAGGAAGGCAAGGGTCAAGCAAGCAGTTGGTAGCTCACATTTCTACATATGACTTGTTCACATCCTTAGTATCTACACATGTCAGGCTCATTGGCAAAACCTCAGCAGAATTTTTCAAACACTTGGAATAGCTTAAGAAGGCTCTAGGCTTGTACTCATCTTAAGACTGTTCAACAAACAATATGACAATGCTGAATAAGAATCTTTGTTGCATTCTAGGAAACCACTGAAACAGTTGATTGCCATCTGTTATGATGAAAGTTCATTTCCTTCTTTATGCTCACTATAATTTAATTCCAATGCTTCTTTCTCCCATACTTCCCATGATTTACAGCAGGAGTTTTCAAATGTTTTCATACAGTAGAACCTGTTAGTTAACAAAAATCCAGAACCCCTGATCAAGAGAAAAAGCTCTAGTGATAGAAGATTGGCAGCTTTTGAATGAACTTTTATTTTTGCCCTTAATCTGTCATGGTACTCCATGGGTTCTAAGCCTTTTGCTTCTCTGCCTTGAAGCTGGACAGCTATTGGTTATTGCCATAATCATTAACTTTTCCTGAGAAATTCCGACTCTCAACTTCTACAACAAGCAGAAAATAACCCATATGTATAGGACAGATGTCAAGATTAACTCTTTTTGACCAACCCCAACACTAGAGTCCAAGCCAAAGACAATTCAATCTACTTTGTTTGCAAAGAACGATGAAAATTGCTCTTGATGATCCCCTGACTATTCCAGCCTCCCTACCCTAACATCTTAATGGAGAAGCTATTCCAGAATATGGTAAACCACTGGCATTGTGTTTGGTGCAGAATGGGGGCAGAGAAATAAATCCTTTTTGCTGCATCTGCTACCATTGGGTATGAGTTCAGATGAGCCTTATGTAGATCCAAATCAGTGTGCGAACTGATCCGTCTTGGAGTTCTTCCACCTTAGGCTCTAATTTTCTACCTAACTTCTTCATTGCTCTCAGTTCCCTGGTAAACCAAGTTGCTGATTTAGCTCTGCTAGAGGAAAGATGTATAGAAATGATTGTATCAACTGCCTGGGCTGTCCCCCCATTCCGCAGATCAGCTAGAGTTTCAACAGTTTCACTGACAGATCAGGTGGGAAATTCCCCAAACCCATTCAGAAAATTGTTCACCAGATCCTTCAGGGATATGATCAGACTCTTTCTACTGATCATCCACTGTGCAGAAATACATATCAACTGCCAGTCCAAAACTGACCACAGTTACAGATCTGTTTTAAGATCACTGGCTAGCCAAACAGAATACCAAATCCTGTGTGCATCCTACTGTATTCATGGGGCCAAATACCAATTAGGACACCTCCATCATTGACATAGGGGACTGGAATCCTGAGTCATTTCTAATTGGGTAACCTTAGTGGAAATGTTAAAGACTCCCAAGACAAGAAGTCTTGAATAGTTCACTGTCATGCAAGAGATTACCTTGCCTGGCTCAGAAAGAGATTGTTGTGGAGCAGGTAGACAGTACATAAACAGTATTGGTATACTGTGCCAAGCCATGGAATCATGGTTGCAAACACTTGAGGCAATTTTCAGTCATATTTCTTATTAATGATTATCAACTATTTTCTACATTTGGAAATTTATCATACAGAGAGAAAGTAAGAGAGAGTACACAGTTATATTGCCTATCAGTGGTCCCCTAACTGCTGTTACTTGCTTTGTTTTGAATTACTAGGTATTTTTGGGAAGATTCTGTGGAGAATTTTTCACTAGGTGGCAGAATTAGACTGTTTCAGTACTCCCTTTTTCATCATTTATCAAGATAGCTATCTGATACCATCAACGGTATTTTAAATTTTAAATTATTCTGAGAGGTCTATGAAACAATCTTAGGAAGATTTTTATTAAACGAAGCAGTAGCACATGACACTTTTGGTGTGATTCTGATGTCTTGGTCTAATCCTAGTGCACACCATTAGCATAATCAACCTTGTCTTTTCGTCCTTGAAAATAGGTTGGAAGTGTATATTTGATGACACTTCTGCAGATGTTCTGACTCTTGTTTTCGAAGATGTTCAGTCCTTGCATCTCTCTGATGTTTTTTTTTACATCTGCATAGTTTAGATATTTATGCAAGGATGAATTTATTCTGCATCTGTCTTGCAGTCATCACATGACAACACAGGATATATAAATATGCAGATAGCTTCATTGATGCATAATAAAGAAAAATAGTAAGTATTTAAAAAATTGATTCACTTTTACTCACTGTGAATTTTTTTCTTCAACAGCATTGACATTCACAGGTATTAAGTAATACATGATATTAACAATGATAATATGTTGTTGAAATTTGTAGAGGATTACCCTTACATTATTGTCTAAAATGTTAGACAATAAAATATTAGTAATAGACAACCCGTGACCCATTGGGTTCAGATTTCAGAGATATTTCTTTATCTAAACAGAGAAACAGAATGACCACAGGTGGTAGGCAAAAAAGCAGTAGGAGCAGGAGCGATTTCTGATTTCCTGCCAGCTTCCCCACTGACTTTTCTTGTGGGAAGCTGGCAGAGAGTGTTGGAAATCTTCCTCCCTCCCTCCCTCCCTCCCTCCCTCCCCCATATCCTTCCCAACCCACACTACACCATCATGTACCCTCCCCAACCCATGTCGCACCCCCACTCACCCTCTCCAATCTGCACCTTCATGCACCCTCCCCAACCTGTGCTGCATCCTCGTGCACTCTCCCTGACCCTTGCCGCACCTCTCAGGCACCCCTTCGCACCCTTCCTGACCAGCGCCGTGCCTCTCGCACACTCCTGCGCACCCTCCCCAACATTGCTGCACCTCTCACACACTGCCTTGCTCAATTCCCCAACCAGCAGCAGCCATTTACCTGCCTGCTGGCCTTGGACTTGCAACTTCCTGCCAGCTTCACCATTGACTTTGCTTGTGGAAAGCTGGCAGGGAACATTGGCAATCAGAATCAAGTTTAGACTTCCTGCCAGCTTCCCCATTGACTTGTGGGAAGTTGTCAGGAAGCACTGGAAATTACGATTGTGTGACTGTGGCTGACTACAGCAGCATGGCGGCGCTGAAGCGGCCACAACTTTGCCAAATTTCAATCCCACAGGAGTAATGGGTCCTGGATTTTGGACACATTCTGTAAGTTAGCTCATTTGAGGTATCTTGGTTCAAAAATTGTTGCCCTATGATGCATTGTTTCACCCAATTGAAGGTTACAAACAAACAGACACAAGAGTTTTAGTAGTATATAGATTGGAAAAAATAACATTGCTTTCTTTTTAGGGGATATGCCCGACAGTATGTTGTGGAAGGTCTTGAACCTAGAACAACTTACAGATTTCGGCTTAAAGTCACAGACCCTGAAGGAGAATCTGTTTATAGTTCACCTGTTTGTGTAACTACAACAAGTAAGTTCACAATACGTAGTTAAAATGTTAAATAGTATAGAAATATATGCAAAATGAAGACAGCTTTGGAAGGAAAGCAGAAACTTGTTCATTAAATTAAAGATATAGTAGTGCTCTCATTTAAACAGTATCGTATTAGGGCTATGTTTTGGACTCATTTTGTATTTGCTCTTCCTTGTTATTCTCTGATCTTTTTTTTTTTCACATTACTGAATTTCAAATATTTAGCTCCCCAGACTAAAAGTAGGAAAAGTCTCATCAACCACATGCAAATTCTTCAGTATGCAAGTTCTACTCCTCTTAAGTATTCCATTGGGATTACTTTTTATTTATTCTTGCTTTAATATACAGAAAGAGGCAAAAGAAGAAAAAGAGACAAAAAAGTAACAAATTAATATAATTTTAAAACCTTAATTTTTAAATAAAGCATTATATTTTGATCTGATGGAGTGCCATCAATCAGTCTTTCCATTACATAAGCAGAGATCAAACATATCTCATCAGTTCAAGACTTTATATCTGGGAATTGCACTGTCTTTCCATTATAAAAAGTAATATATTTTTTTCCTGTACCCCATACTCAGTAAATCTGTATTTGTTCATATACTGATAAATTCAAAATCCATCTAAATAATCTCCTTCAATTTTCTGTAAAAATACTGTAGCTTTTAGATTTAGAATAATGCTATAGATTTAGAATAATTCAAAACACATTTCAATGTTGATTGTAATTCAGGAGTATTAGATACTGCTAACTCATTTCAACCAAATGAAAGCAGAAGATGTTTTAATTAAATATACTGCCATTGTGCAGTTTTAGATGATCCACATTCCTCTTGCAATAACTCAAATGGCTTAAAGAATTTAATTGGCAATAAGCTGATAAAAAGTATTAATATCCCTCACAGCCCATGAATTCTAAATAGAAGGTATATCTTCAACATATAAAACAATGTATGTTAAAGTCCAGCTGCTTTTTGGCAGCAGACCAATGTCATAAATTTAGCACATTGCCATCAGGAAGTAAATGTCTGCCATTGAAACTCGTATAGAGAACAAAGCTTCAGCAAATCCAATTATCATATGGCCTGAACTCAATAATAGGCTTCAGTCCCTGGGATTTATTTGGATCCCCTCCCTGGCCTGGTAGAGGGTATGTACATGGGGAAATGGGAGAGAATACATTTGTGGATTGTATCTATTATTTGCTCCACAAGATATCCGAGAAAGAGAAAATGCTCTAGCACAAGGGTACATGCATGTTATATACTGGATATGTAAAAAAGGGAAAATGGCTACTAACATATAATTGTTGTTCTTCCTTTTTATGTAATCCACAAGGAAAGCTTTACTACACCTTACAAGTGTATTACAAGTGTATTATGAAATAAGCTGATAATTGGGAAGGATAAACAAGCAGAAAATTAGTGGCATCCTGTGTGTGTGTAGGTGTGAAAAAGTCAAGATGATGGTGTGATTGAAGCCTCACCCTTTTATACATCCATGCAATGTCAAGCCCACCTGTGGATGCAGCTATAGGAAGTACTTATCTGATAAAAAGCCAACGTAAAGGGAATATCTGTATGCCAAAGTTTTGCATGTAGTGTCAGAGTTATTGTGTACATTTTTTTTTTTAATCCGCACTCAATTGTTACCGATTCTGCGGCGACTGCCTGAATGAGTCCCTGCAGATTTCAAGGCAAGGTGTTTCAGAAGTGGTTTGCCAGTGCCTAGAGTGGAGCCCAGCTGGTGAACGCAGGAGGCGGGGTTTCCGTTGCTTCGCGCCTTTTTCGGGCGAGCGCGGTTTTCCACGCTACCGGCAACTACTCCTGTCTCCTTTTGCAAAGCGCCGCCAGCATTTTTCCTCCCACCGGAGTGAGAGTAGCCATTTATCTACTCACGTAAGTTTTCGAGCTGCTGGGTTAGCAGGAGCTGGGGAGGAA